TCTCTGCGTTGCGAGCTTTTACTTTCTCTGAAAGCACATTGGCCATTTGACCCTGAATTCTGGGACTGGAAGACATTGAAACGCTACTGTGTTCAGTTACTGGGGCTGGAACCTGAGGAAGAAGTAGAGGATGAAGAAGCACCCGAGGAGCTGTGTAATCTTGGAGCAGTTTTGAATGAAGAGGTTGGGAAGGAGGGAGAAAATGAATGTAAGGTTAATGCATTTAGCAGCACTGAGCAAGAGCAGAGAGTGGAAAAAACGGAAATGGAAAAGGGACAAAAAGTCTCAAAGAAAAAAGACTCCCAAGACGTCTCTAAGAAATCCGAAATGCATCAGAAGGATAAATTTATCTGCCAGATATGCCATAAACAAGTGGTGGAGACGAGAATCTGTCACCATGCCAGAAAACACATGGAAAATGACATGTGGACATGCCCTGTGTGTCTACAAAAGTTTAAAAGTAAAAAGGAGTTTGCGCCCCACTCCAAAAAACACATTCAGATTCCTGCAAAGGGTCACTGGAAAAAGAAAAAAGTGAAGAAGAAGGTGGACCTGCAACATTATTTCAAGGAGGATAGTTTGGATGAGCTAGAGCCTGGTCAAATTCCTTTAGACCCTTCCCTTGCCATGTACTATCAGTCCACCCATGACCCTGTTGTATTAGAACATATATTAGAGCAAGCTGCCAGTGTGCCTGATAAGCAAGTAGACGATGACTATATTACATTTGACTACATCAACGCATACTTTAAGTTACAGGATCGTGATGTTTACCAGTGTCCAGCCACTAACTGCTCAAGGAATTTTAAACTTTTTAAGTACTTGGGTGTACACATAAAAAATGAGCATGATAGTGAAGACCCCAATTTGAAACATTATCTGGAGATGAAAGACCGCCGGGAGAAGTGCACTTTCTGCCGAAAGACCTTCATGACAGCCCATCACCATCGCCAGCACCGGTGGGTCCATTATGGAGATCATCCTTACATATGTGTAATCACAGGATGCGGTGCCCGTTTTGATACCACCAATGAACTTATAGCACATAAGCATAGTCATGGGTTCCGTTTGTCTTACGGCTGTGAGTTGAAAGGCTGTAGTTTCTCTTATTGTGACCTTGGGCAGCTCTACCACCATGAGGCACAGCACTTCCGCGATGCAGCTTACACTTGCACCAGCGCAGGGTGCAATAACTTTTTCTACTCTCGCAGGGAATTTCTACAGCACTTGGCCACTCATGACATCACTTTCACAGAGAAAGACTTTGAGACACAGAGAAAAATGAGAATGAAACTCTTGCTTCCAGTTGTAGAAAGTGACTTGGGTTCTGGGTCAAAGGCAGAAGTAGAGAATGGTGTCCAAAAGGTTGGTTCAAGTTCTTCACAGCTCTTGGCGAACAGTGAATCTAAGGTCTCGTTGACGTGCGTTGCTGTCTGCTTTGATGGGAGAAAGTTTACATGTGGCTTAAAAAAGTGTAAAAGGACTTTCACTACTGCAAGAGAACTCCAGAAGCACTTAAAAATTGCTCATTCAGGTGAGTTTAACGAGGAGAATCCATTAAGCAAGAAAAAAGTACAAGAACAACGTTCAGAGACTCAAGCCAATGAATTGCATCAAAGTGGCCAGGATAAGACTCTAAAAAGCTTATCTACAGAGGAATCCAATCACAAAAAGGATATCTCGCCTGCTCCTGAGTCTGTAGATTGTGATGCAACCCTTTCAAATGTGGAACTCTGTGCAGCATTTACCGAAATCATGCTTGGATTGAGTCAACTAAGCCTTAATTCTCCCAGCACTAGATATGCTATGCGTAATTCACAGAGCACTTGCACACCTACCTTGAATGCAAGGTCACCTGCCAAAGCAGCAAACAACAAAAAAGAGGTGAGATCTCATGTAGTGAGTAGTGATTCAAAGAGGCTGTCAAGCAAGTCAGAATTGTCACAAACACATGACCACATTAAAGACTCTGAGAAGGAGCAACCGCAAAGCGACCCCTCAACCAAGCCTTACACCTGCGAAGCCAAAAGTTGCCACTACAAGACCGTTACCTGTTGTGCTTTAATGCAGCACTACATTAAAATTCATGGATACTCTGAGGAGAAAGTGCAACAGATGGAGGTGTTTCAATCTGAAACATTTGAGCCTCTCAAAACACCTGATGGCACTGAAGATTCTGTTTTGGGGAACAATCAACCACAAAGCGAGTTCCTTGTGCAGGCCACAACCAAACCTTACACCTGCGAAGCTAAGAGTTGCCACTACCAAAGTGTTACTAGTCGTGCTTTAATGCACCACTACATTAAGATTCATGGTTACTCTGAGGAAGCGGTGAAAGAGATGGAGGTGTTTCATCCTCAAATATTCAAGCCTTTCAAGTGCCATCTCTGCTCCAAGAGCTACAGAAACAAAAAAGAATTGATGATCCACTATATACAGATGCATCACATAAATAAAGCTATTGTTGAACAGATGAGCTGCAGTTTTAAAAGGAGACTAGTTGATAAAGCATCTGTGTTGTCATCTAAAATAAGGAACAGGAAGAAGTCACAATCTTTGAAGATGGATGACATTAAAACCAAAATACGGGACAAACACCTTTGGCAACAGAGATGCCAAAAAAAAGATTATCAGTTGTGGAAAAGAAAACTAGATAAGAAAAATGGACAAGTTAAAGCTGAAGAGAAAAGGCAAGTCCCTTCTGAAACTGATGCTGATGTAAACCACGAAGCGGTTGATGTTAGGGGAAGCCGTCGCTTGATCGCAAAAGGGAATCTGAGCCACATCCTCACTAAATACAATAAACCCTTTCATTGTGTGCATAAAAACTGCAATGCTGCCTTCGGTAATCAGAATGCCCTTGTTGGCCACCTTCAGTTAGTGCATCACTATAACCGCTCACAGTTGTGCTTCCCATGTGAACACAAAGGATGTGATAAGCAATTTAACAACTTGTCTAGTCTTACTAAACACTACCGTAAAGAGCACAACTTCAACAGAAAGAAAATTACATCAAAAGTGTCCTGCAAATCTAAGAACATACCAAAAAGACAGATGGCCTCATCAGAGGAGCCCATAACAAGGTTCAAGTGTACCTATGCTAACTGCAATGAGTCCTACCATCTCAAAAGCAGCCTCTTGCGTCACACAAGTCAGTTTCACCAGAACCAGACTTCACTGAATCCAGCTGCTACTTCTGTGAACAGCAAGTTCAAAATGAGCTATAAAAAGCATGTGTTCTATAGGCACTGTGATCCATCTGATTCCCTTGTCGTGCGTCTCCAGAGCACACCTAAAAAAGAGGAGTCAAAAAATGGATGCCAAACGAAGTTGATCATCTCACCTTCCCAGTCATTGAAAGATTCCCAAAAGCTGCCTCTCAAGCAACCTTTGAGATGCTGCATCGAGGATCAGGAAATCGCTCCGTCTGAGGAGAACTTTGAGTCCATTGAAGAAAATGCAGAGGACAGAGTACCTAAGACACCTACAATAAAAAAAAAAAAAGGATTTGACCAGATTGTCTTCCGAACACATGAGGAGGCTTTGCAGATGTGCCAAGACCGCTGCCTGTCTGTGGCCTTCCCTTGCATGTTACAGAACTGTGACTCTGTAGTAACTAGAATGAGTAGTTTGAGTCGACATTATATTGCGGTTCACAAACTTACACGCGTAGAGTTGACTGATAATAAGGACAAATTATGTTACACTGCAGAAAAGTTAGAAGAGATTATACAAAAGAAATCTGCTGTGCCTGCTATACCTGATTTAACAAGGATTCCAAATGGCGTCCTCAAGATGGAGTATCAGTCTGAGCCTGCGACCCCAGGTGGCCAATCACTGCCAATGAGCCTCCATTCAATCAAAAACGAATCAAAGGGACATGAAGTAACTGAGTTTTCAGGGGAGCCACACCCCGACACAAGTTTGCTTATTGCAGCTGAAGGTTTGCTCTATGGCTCCCCAAAGTCAAGCGGGCACCCTGAAGAGCCTGTTTCTGAGGAGAGTCCAAGCAACAAAGACAGGTCAGACTCTGAGTTAACAGCACCTCCCCTTATTCGACCTCCACCGCTTGACCTCTCACCACCCTCTACCCTCAGAATTGCTGTTGATGAAAGTTCATTTGAACCCTCTGATAAAGACAGTAAATCTATTAACATTCCTTCTACTGTTTCCATATCAGTTCCCACCCCAACTCGGCAGCCCCTCAGACGGAGGAATGAACTCTCTGAACCACCACCGCCAGTCCCTCTTTTGCCAATCCCAAAGGATCCTGTAGCGCACAGTCTAGCACCACGAACTTTTGACATTGCAACTTACAAACCTATGGGCTTTGAGTCGTCATTCTTGAATTTCATTAAAGAGAAGGAGGAGATCAAATATGAAAAGCCGTGGGCTGCAGTAGTTACTAATCCTTGTCTCAAACCTGATCCACCTCGACGCAGAGATTGTTTCAGACGGAACTGCTCGGTCAAAGAAAACACTCAGAGAGGAGCCCCCATCTCTCGAAGCCGCAAGTTTCGGTCATCCCCTCTGAGGCACTTGATCTCTAAAGGAGAGTGTACCTCTATCCAGAATCTCCGTCTGATTTTGGAGAGGGCTTTAGCGGGCTGTGGCGACCAAGCTATAAAACAGCTTCAGTTCTTGAAGCCTGTGGTGGTTCTAGAGAGGCCAAAGTCCTTTGCCTCCATTCTTGATCTCTTACCCTCTGAAACTAAAGCATAAGCTTTTGCTGGGCAAAAAGGCAGTAAAACTCTTGTCCACCTTTTTTATTTGAGAGACTTTCATAGTATTTTTTATATCATTGATACAATTTTGGTTCTTTGCTGCAAGAATTAGGTACATTGATTGTTAAGTTGTGAATGTTTATATCTGTAAATAAGGTCAAATAAAAAAGAACAACAAAAGATTACGAAAATACATATTCTATTACTTGTGTTGTATACACATCAGACCCATAGCTGAAAATGACTCAACAGGATCCATTTTAAGTTTAATTGGTTTTATATACTATGAAAAGCCATACAGATTTAGAATTGGAAATAAATGTATTCAAGTTATAAATTGAATAGGGACAGCATTGCTTGTTTATGAGGCTTTCAAAAAGGTTCAGAAATCTTTGAACAGGAGACAGGCCTACATGTTGATATTCATCCTCAGATGGCAAGCCCAAAAACACTAACTATGCAGTATATGGTTTTATTCTCCCACCTAAAGCTCCCTGTGGAAAATAAATCAATGTCATTAATTTTTATTTTTCGATAATGATTGGATTATTTAAAGTAAGAAATCAAATCTGAAATACTTGCTCTTTCTTACAATACATCTTACCATCTGTAGTGTTGTCCCAGAAACACGAGCTGGCAGTGTGCAAACCTGCCCCATTTTTTTGCAGTATGATGCACATAACTGGTTGAACAAACAGAAGAGTGGATTTGGAAAAACATACAGGTTTGTTTACATAAGTATTATTGTCGTTTAAATTGCCTGTTACCATACCTATGTACTTGAAAGGTTTTCCTAATTTTGTTAGCTGGCTCAGACTTGACTCTACAATGTTTGACATCCACTGGTTGATTTTGTTGTGTTGGTAAGAGTGGTTTCCAATGGTGCTTTCAACAGCCTGTAATCAAAAGACCCCGTAATACATGATTATTGCAATGAATATTGATCATTTACATTTCAAAATGTTTACTCATGCAATCAAAGTGATTGAACTGATAGTTAAAGATTGACTTCATGTCTACACATTGGAGTAGTAAATACTTCTTTGATAACCGTGGTAATCTCGTCCACAACAAATGTAGTCTGTGAATGAAAGTAATACATGGTTAAGGTCGCAGTTTAAGCATGGACAAATAGAGAGATTGTTTATACTACACATAGAAGTAAGAATAATAACTCTACAACACAATACTAGTTATTGTTAGGTTTTTTGTCAAGTACCTCCTCAGCAGACTGATCTTCGGCCATTGCGCCACTTTATCCAGAGCGTTTTGTAGTTTCTATGGAGACAGACAAGGGTCACTCGCTGGATAACATACTGCTCTCAATAGTCTGTTCTGTTCTTCAGTGTTTTGTTTTTGTCTCGCAAAGCAACGAAAATAATGTCAAAATATCACCAGTTACATTTTTGAGGATCTTCTCGAGTATGTGGGGTAAATTATACAGGGAAAAATATTTTATGAAGTTTTTTTTACGTAGTAGGACAACAAAAACTGGTGGAAGTAACTTACATTTGGGAAATACTTTGGTACACTAAGAGTTGCACTAATTTAATATAAATCAGCTTCCTCACTTGATCTCTCTCTCAGCAGTTCTGATGTACGCTCGTACTTATGCAATTGTGAAGGAACTATTCATAAGTGATATATCTGCCTTGATTTGTTTGTTTCAACTGTCCCGTATCCTTTCAACGCAAGCCTGCATGCTCTTCTTAATTGACGCAGTTGCTCTTCACACACTAACTTTTAAAAACGGGAAAAGTTTGTTCTTTCTGGTACAGGTAGGCTACTGTATTTAAAAAACCAACACCTGGTGGATAAAGGTGCCCAAAGTTGAAGAGAAACATCCATATACATTTATATTTCGCAAGTGTCTGACAAATTTAACATTTGTGACTAACTTACTTTAATAGAAGACTTTTGCTCGCATAATTTTGACTGCAGTGGAACCGTTTAATTAAACTAATATAGCCTACATAATATATGATTAATTAGTCGTTTTTTATACATGAATCCAGTTGTTCACAGAACCCTCATAAATAGTACATTTTAATTTACCAAACTATCATACAATTACAAATAAAAATGGTTCAGGAACCCATTTTGTTCTGCTCTGGTGTCCGGTCGAACACAGTTTCTAGTTACACCCTAATTTCATATGAATGGGAAAGGAAGTGATATAGCATGAGTTATCGTTATTTGTGCATCTCTGCATGTAGTTTCTCTAATATATGGACATAGCACATACACATTCTCGTAAGGTTTAAGTCTCGTATTGGGTCGGAACAGGTACGAAGATTATCTGTCTTGAATGAAAAGGCAGCAGACTCCTGAATTACTGGATAGCCCGAGCTAATTAACGGTGCCAACAAATAACTACCAAGCCGGAATAATGCTGCAGGAAATTCTTGCATTACCAGTTGAAGACAAAATATTTTACGCTGTCCTGGTCTTCTCATGGACGGTGTATATTTGGGAGGCCTACCTCGCCTATAGACAGGTGAGCATATGCTCATTGCTTTATGTTTGTGGAAAGCATTTAATGTCAGTCACTTTATGCATGTATGAATTTCTATTATAATTTGCATATTTTGATTATTAAAATCAAAATTCTTCCATTTTAGAGTTTTGTTCAAATGCAATTTGATGTACTGAAACGCTGAACCCTATATAAACACCCAGACACGTTTGACCTTTCACAGAGGAAGATCTACAGGACAACAATGCATGTGCCCACTGAGCTGGGCAAGATAATGGATTCAGAGACTTTTGAAAAATCTCGCCTCTATCAGCTGGACAAGAGCAACTTTGGCTTCTGGTCTGGACTCTACTCTGAGGCAGAGGGCACGGTGAGCTTAAAACCACATACAAAGATATTTTTGTCAGTTTCAAAGAATAAGTGGTGGGGTGATTATGTGTTTATTTTGTAGATTTTTTTTTATATTGAGTCTTTTTCATATAATGCACTGTTTTATGTTCAGACAACTTCACATCTGTATGTTTCTATTACAAGTTTCTCATGAGTTTTCTGGTGGGAAAACCATGCACCTTGTGGATTCAATCTGAATAAGCATGGACTGCAAATCTTAAATTAACAACTTTTAAAGATTTTTTTCCTCTGTTTTTACTTCCATCTGTCTCTTCCTCTGAGCATGTTTAATCTTTTTTTGCCTTGTTTTATTTTGTAGCTGATACTGCTCCTGGGAGGAATTCCATTCCTTTGGAAAGTGTCAGGGAATCTCACAGCTCGTTTTGGTTTTGGTCCAGAGTACGAGGTAGGTTATAAATGTCTTTACTGTCACTTTTGATCGATTTAATGCATCCTTGCTGAATAAAATTAATAATTTCTTCCCCCAAAAAAACCTAAACTTTTGAACGGTAATGTATAATGTTTCAAAAGCTTTCTATTTCAGATGAATGCTGTTCTTTTGAACGTTCTATTCATCAAAGTATCCTTAAAAAAATATACAACTGTTTTTAACATTGATAATAATAATAATAATAAATGTTTCTTGAGCAGCAAATCAGAATATTATAATAATTTCTGAAGGATCATGTGACACTGAAGCTGGAGTAATGCCTTGCCATCACAGGAATAAATTACATTTTAAAATATATTAAAATAATATTTCACAATATTATTGTTTTTGCTGTATTTTGGTTCAAGTAAATGCAACCTTGGTAAGCAAAAAAGACCCTTTTTAAAAATCTTTAAAACTTTTGAACGGTAGTGTACATTGATCTTGTCATGAAAATAGCCATAGATGCTGGTATGGCAATAAAAACAAACAAACCTGCCCTCAAACAGTAGTTTGTAGCTGAGGTCTGGAAGAGTTCAGTTTGTGTTGTCGACATGCTTTCACGCTGTTTTCTGCACTGTGAAACCAAATCCACTTTACAAGCACTGTAAGCAGTAGACCAATCACAACAGACTGGGCCGTCTGACCAATCAGAGCAGAGTTGGATCTCAAAAAGGCATGGTTTAGAGACTAAATCCTTGATTATGCCGTTTCAGACACTGAGAAAGAGGAGAGGATGCAATGTATATTGAGAGAAAATTAAAGGTTTTTTTTTTTTTTACTTGGATGCATGTAAACCTATTGTAGGAGACCTCCAAAACAAAATAACAACCTTTAAAATAGCATAATAGGGGGACATTAACATCTTGAAAACTAAAGAGGTTGTTTTCCATTTTAATGACATTTTATGTGAAAATTAATGTCTTGCTTTTAGTGATCTAATCACATTAATACATGAATAAAAATATATATTGTATACTGTACATAATATATATACTGCTGAAATATTAAGAGTTTTATTCTAGTATGGTTTCCTGAAAATCTCAAATGGTCTTCTTACCTTCAGATCTCCCATTCGTTGGCGTTCCTGATGCTAGCGACACTCTTTAGTGCTTTCACTGGCCTTCCCTGGAGCCTCTATAACACTTTTGTTATTGAGGAGAAGCATGGATTCAACCAGCAGGTAGATAAAGTCTAGATCACATCTATCTTTCTGTTATAGCAGGTATAAAACTGATGATGAAATGTACTGAAATCTCTTTAATTTGTCCCTTGCCTATAGACGCTGGGTTTCTTTCTGAAAGACGCTCTCAAGAAGTTTGCTGTGACTCAGTGTATTTTGTTGCCAGTGACATCATTACTCCTCTACATCATCAAGATAGGTGGTGATTACTTCTTCATCTACGCCTGGCTCTTCACACTCATCGTCTCACTGGTCAGTTTTTTCGTGCTTCTGCTGCACGTGTTGTCTGTGAGGATAAACAAAAAGTGAACTGAACTGTCCCTTCTTATTTGGTCTACAGATTCTGGTGACTATCTACGCAGACTACATCGCCCCTCTGTTTGATAAGTTCACTCCATTGCCAGATGGAGAGCTGAAGAGTGAGATTGAGAGCATGGCGAAATCCATCTACTTCCCCCTCACCAAGGTCTATGTAGTAGAAGGTACAGCTATAATCATCTTTTCATTTTTGTTTCTTTCTATAGAACTAAAATTGTCTCAGTCTTGATATCTTGCCCTCTTTTCTCCCTTCTCCTAATATTTCTGTTCACTCTTTTCTAGGTTCAAAGAGATCTTCCCACAGTAATGCCTACTTCTATGGTTTCTTCAAAAATAAGCGCATTGTGCTATTTGACACTCTTTTGGAGGACTACTCCCCTTTAAATAAATCTGGAGAGAAAGAGCCAGGAACGGTAGAGGAGAATGAGGCGGTGGCCAATGAAAGCAAGTCCAAACCAAAGGTCAGAGGGTCAGGGCCAAAACAATAACAAATGTGATAAAATGCTGTATTGTAGGGATGCACCAAAATTCCGATTACCGAAATTTGGCGCTCTTTAATACGACGTGACCGATCAATGTAGCCGCCTCAGTTCAAGCGACAGCACGGTTCAAGCGCACATGAACCGATCATCTCATCTCCTCTTTACTAATAGTTAGTTACAGCACGAAATAAACATGGGTGAACAGAACACCAGAAGGTATGTTGAAAGATACATTACAACTTGAGAAATGAATCCTGTCTCATTTAATCGCTCAATCAGTGTTTCAACTGGGAAAGACGGCAGTAAAACAACTTGTAGACAATACAATGTCACGTTACATTACCTCATCAAAGGTAAAAAAAATGGTTTAATTTCCTCATAATATACATTTGCACATCACCACATTTTCAATGATTTTCAAACGACTCGTCAAATGAATCAATCCCTCCTTTCCGCGAGCTACTTTGTTCTGATTGGCCAGACAGCTCAGTCTGTTGTGATTGGCCTACCGTGTACAGCGCGTCGAAAACAAAAACGCCCATGGCCATAACAACGTCAGCTCTGCTTGTTCTGAGGCTTCCTACACTGTAAACTAAACACAGTAATGAACAATGACGTCGATTTGACCATATCAATGCGAGCGCGAGTCCGATGATGAAACTCTGGAAGAGCTGGTTATTCAACCCAAACCTCCATCGCAAGGACGACTTGAGCTGGACGTTTCACAGTGATACACTACTCAGTTTGAGGCACATTATAAGATGTTGCAACTAATTCCTCACCATCAGCATTAACAAGTGCATATCCATCAACAAACCTATTATTAGGGCCCAAGCCCTGAAAGGGCGAAGGCCCTATTGTTTTCCTTAGGATACATTTTTTAAAAATGTTCTATCGACTATTCGGGCACTTTTGGGGCCCTTAACGTGCTCGAAAACTCTTGAAACTTTGCACATGGGTCAGAACCTGCGGGCTGAAGCTGGTACCCGGGCGGGGCAGGGGGGCTCGACAGCGCCCCCTGGAACGGGCTCCGAAAACTTGGTCCATAAATCAAACACGTTTGCATGTAATAATATGAAACTCAGTACACATATAGATCTCATCGGTTCATATATCCTTCATACTCTTACTTTTTACCCCAGCCCAACAGGAAGTCGGCTATTTAGGGTTGTTTGGAAAACGCATGCAATGGAATTTGAAATACTCCTAGAGAATTCAAACACACGGCACGAAACTCGGTCAGCATGAAGTCAAGACATTGAGGATGAAAAATTGCCAGGGGATTTTTGATATCTCGAACGGTTTGGCCGTGGCGAGGAAACTAAATTATGGCGCAAAAAGAGAAACAGGAAGTGTGTTATAACTTCTTTATACATTAACTGATCTTGGTGAAACTTCAGCAGTGTGTTCGTTGTAAGAGGCCGATCACATGGATGTGACTATTGTGAGTCAAAGTTATAGCGCCACCAACTGGCAGCAGGAAGTGTGTCACTTTCAAAATGCTTTGAAATAACCCTCTTATTTTTACCCGATTTGCTTCAAACTTTATGTGTATAATATAAAGACACGGCTGATGTAGACCTGTGAAAAGATTATTGATATCTTAGATACTGTTGCCGTGGCAACGCATCAAACTTTAATATTCTTGTTTGATGCTTTTGAGACTCTTAGCATGCTTGAAATTGCATAAAACTCGACAGACACATTACATTTATTAGCTAGTAGACATGTGCAAAGTTTCAGAAACGGGCGTGGTGAGGGCTCAATAGCGCCACCTTTTGTCAAAAGTGGGGCGATTAGTTTTATCTACAGTTACAAAAATCGGTATGTATATTGTTCTCCTCGAGCCGGACAACTTTCTAATTGACAGTCATTAGCTCCGAACAACACGAAGTCAGATATTTTGGTTTGAATATGGTGAGCCTCTCTCTGAGCCTACGTCTCTGTATGGCAAGCCCTTTTAACATTTAAAAGCTAAGTTTGACTATCCGGAATTAACATTGTAGATATCAACAACGTCTTTCTGACTAGTCGTAATTACATTTTGGATAGTTTGTATTATAATTTAAGATATCTGTAACGTAATTGTGACTAGTCGAACCGACAGATAGAGATATCTGTAATTCAGTTTTGACTAGGCAAAACTGAATTACAGATATCTGCAATGACGTCATTGAAAACGACATTCAACTCGTCACACATCTTAAATGACAATCCAAATTAATTTCAAGATATCTATAACTTGATAATAAATATCTACAATTAAATTATGACTATCCCTAACTCCAGTTTGAGATATCTACAACACCATTTTGACTAGTCATAATTCCAGTTACAGATATCTACAACGTAATTTCGCCTAGTCAAAACTTAATTTAAGATATCTGAAAAGGAACATGTAGATATCTTGAATTGAGGTTAATTAAAGATATCTTGAACTGGAGTTATGACTAGTCAGAATCAAATTGTAGATATCTCAAACTGGAATTACATATATCTACAATTCAGCTGCAGATATCCGTAATTCACATAGTGGGTATCTCCAACTGAATTGTAGATATCTGTATTTATAAACCCCATACAAATGAATGGCAAAAGTGATGTCATTTGTCCTAGGAAGAATGTCTTTGTGGATATCTGAAATGACAATTATGGATAGGAAGAATGTAGTTGCGGATATCTGAAATGTTCTTTTTGACTAGGCAATACTGAATTACAGATATCTGCAACACATATCCAGTCTAGCTGTTAAATGTTAAAATGGCTTGCCATATCTCTGTGTCTGTGCCTGTCTGTGTGTGTGTGCTTGTGTGTGTGTGTGTGTGTGTGTGTAGGGGAAGGGGGAGGGGGGCTAGATTAACCATTTCACTGCTGTGTGGTTTGGCCTGCATTAAAAAAGAAAATAAATGTCTTAAGCCTTGTATTTTTTAAATAAGTTTTATTAATAAAGACATTTAACCAGTTTAATTGTAGTGCATAGACAATAGTTTTATATAATTAGTTTATTAATTAAATTAACTTGGGCCCAGTCCCAATTCTCACTTGAGCCCTAAGGCCTTCCTGGAAGTGGACACTTGTTGAAAGTGCACTTAGCGGAGTAAGTGCGCAAGGGCCCAAAGCTGTGAAGAGCAGAATTGAGACAGTTTTGCACACATCACTTCTGTTGTGATCAGGAGAGCAAACACCATTCATTTGGCTAATGTGTGTGCTGCTTATAATAGCTGTAACATGACACAATCCTTTGAATGAAAAAAATAATATTTTTTTACTCTTAGCTACCAACCTTTCTGTTAATGTTATTAATATTAAAACAGTTTTTGGCTAAGATAAATTGTGATTGGGGTTTACCTGAGCTTATACTGCCTTACCTTAAATCATAGATTACTGAGACCAAAGATCGCCCGTTAGATATACACAAGCCGATTTATAGCTCATGTTTAACCACTAGACACAGAGCCCGCGGGAAACGTCAGAATGACTAGCCGAGGTAAGGCTGTTCCAGGCGGGGTATATGAGCACTGTGCGCCCGCTGATCCCTGGAACTCCGAAAAAGTCCGATCAAAATTTTAAATAGGCGCTATCTTTATAAACAAACCACAGATTTGAGCTTTAAACAACTATATTCTCGACTGAAAAACTCTTAAAACTACATTTCGTGACACGATAACACTAATATTTTTAAATTTCGCGGCCTTGAAAAACACTTCACCATACCGGCTTCCTTTATCTTCGGAGTTTCCGCTCCCGAACAGCACCATAGCAACCATTCTCCCCCATTGGTTAGCTGTTCGAAACGTCACAACACTACAAGGATTCTGGGTAATATCCCACAGCAAAGTGAGGTCTGATGCGCACTTGCGAAAGGGGTGCATTAAGTGCCCTTATGATCACCCCTGGAGAACACTATTAGAGGATCGGGACACCCTACGGTCTTGCACCCCTTAGCGAGAACGCGCATTGAGGGGCACAAGGGCGCAAGTGCGGGTATTGGGACAGGGCCTTGGTCCATAAACTTGGTCTGAATATTTGGTGCATAAATCAAACACACTTGCATGTAATAATATGAAACTCGGTACACATATACACCTCATCGGGCCAAACAACTTTCGTGCTCTAAGTTTTAAGCCAGCCCAACAGGACGTCGTCTATTTTGGTCTGAATGTGGATGTTTTTTCTGTCGATATTGGAACGTGAGTGAAGTACAAAGCCTATAATAAAGAATAGCTTAGCATCCAAATACATCGCAAATGTTAAAACAGTTTGATTCGAATGAGAGACTAATGTGAGCCCAACACAGCTTACTTTCACTTTCGCTTTAAATTATTTCGGTTATTTATTGTTTATAGTTTTTTTTATTCTTGTTCTGTTCTGAATATCATTAAATTTAAATTATTGCTTGTGGAATATTTTGAGTGTATCATAAAAGCAGAATAAATCTCTCATTTTAGTGATTCCCTAGTTATTTTTTTTATTTAAATTTATTCATTGTTCTAATCAGGTAAGGCAAGTAATATTCTCTGATATATATTTTGCAATATATATATATATATATATATATATATATATATATATATATATATATATATATATATATATATATATATATATATATATATATATATATATATATATATATATATAAAATATAGCTGCGAGCAGCGATGGAAGGGCCAAAGCCGGCGGCACTTTAGTTACCTAAAGGCACCGGGGTTGCGGTGCCACCGGCTTGGGCCCGTCATCGCTGCTCGCAGCTATATTTTATATATATATATATATATATATATTTTTTTTTTTTTTTTTACTTGTACTAATTTATTTACCGAGTATTTTTCTAATATATTGGGGTGAATATGTGGAAACTGTATCAATAACAGTGCATGTATGCAATGTACATTAGCCGAGCTCTAGAGTGAATGATCTGATGTAACATAAACGTTGTTAAAAACAAATATTTCCTCAAAGTAACATTAGTGAGAACG